GCAAGAGTTTTGGTGCGGGCAGTCTGTTAACTTTTGAAAAGACAGACCAAAGTTATACGAGGATATAATTCTGATGGAAATCTCCCCACTAGTCATGGAAAGTTTAGAACTGTCTTGAGAAGTCCTATGGGCTTTCCCGAGAAGTCCAATTGATATCGCAAGCCGTATGAACTTCTCCGGCAAGTTTCAGTACAGTTTTGGCTGAATCCATCCCATATAGATCTTAGATCTAATTTTGGGCCTACTAAGCACAACTCGTCTTTTGCCTCTATTTTTCGAGTCTATTTTTTCCACAAAATGGAATGCAGATGTCTTCTAAATTTATTTACCTTTCTGTACGTACCGTTCTATTTGCTATAGAGAAACAAATTGTTGAGATATTGTTAAAAATCTAACACTGCTTCTTGACCGCAAACTCGACCTACGGATTCTAAATTTGGCCTAATGCATTGAAACGCCATTCAAACGCCATTGAATTCACTTCGACCAATCGTATGAAGATAAAAATTGATTCGTTCGGTAGCTTTTGAACTAAATTATCGTACCAAACGCATAATTGACTTGTCAACTCTGAAACAATGGATTTATTTGATGTTTTCTGCTCGATAGGCCCAAAATGGGCGATTAGGCCGAAGCTAATCTATAAATTTGGATCACTGGTAAAGAATATGATGACACAGATTCTTCGATAGTTTCTTTGTATTGTAATAGGTGAAATGACGACTTCGACATGACAGATTTTTCACTGGATTCTCCTACGAAAATACTTCGCTGAATGCATTCAAACGATTCTTTAGGCATTCAGCTTCAATGTGATTATATTTTTACCACGGTGAAAAGCAATCTAGCAGGGTTTTCTTGAAATGAAACACACGCACTATAAAATGCTGCTGATTTGGAGTTGCCGATGAAAGCACAGCTGTTTAACACGCAGCTTAAATAGAAAGGTTGTCGAATAAAACAAAAATGTTGCCCACAATAGTCACTCTCACTAGAGAAGATTGAAGCTATGTTAAACCGTTTATGACAATTCATTCGACTGAAATTGTTAGATCATCTGGCAGCAAAGGATTGTAAACAAACCAATATTGCATATGTGTGCGTTCCTTAGAGAAAAAGCGAAGATTTCATATCAAGAAGACTGGCAACTATTCCATTTTATCATACGAACGCTACGAGACAGGTACAATCGCGTCATCTGTCGCTCAAAGGTAAATGCTTCGAACGAATGTGATAGCAAAGATCACATCCTCAGAAGAATGGTTTGTGTAATTGCTAATTTTTCTATGCGTTGCTTCCACCTTCACCCAAGCGCAGCGCTACTGTATCTGTCGTCTTCTTGCTTTGTTGTCTTCGGAAAAAAGGCTATAGAAAGATGGTCGCTGCTTAGGTTCCTGAGAATACGTAAATTCCCCTATGCAGCGTAGATTGGATCCCACAATAAAATCAAAAAATATTGGTTGTCCTTGCAGTTTTAGCTCAAAACAACAGCAGATAATGGATAATAGAAGTCTTTCACGTTGTCCATGTTGACCCTATTCACTCAAATAATCTCAAAGATTATTCCATGAAGAAGTTATACCGTTATACTTCACACTGCAGCGCATGTTTGCAAAAAGATTATTCAGGTGTATGTTATCGATTGAAATATGTGATGAGTTATCACTTATTAAATGAATTCCAGTAATTTTTAAATTCAATTCTATTCAATCCTAATCGGGATTTAATTCTAGAAAATAATACGTAAAATTTCTACTTTATTTAATTTATGCTTTGGTTCAAATGAATCTGATGCATGTTTGTTTTTGTTTACGATCTGACATAAACGTCATGCTACATCACGCGAGCGTAGTGTGAACACCTCCACTCGATATTGATATGATCTCGCTATATCACGCGATATATAGCGCAATGAAAACGGGGTATAAAGCCCTCTGAGTAAATATGTTGACGTCTGCCAAAATCTGTTCCAATCGAACTGTTCGATTGGAACAGAGACGATGTTTTATAAGAGACGCGCGGAGAGAATAAAAGTATATCTGGTTGCACGGCCAACAAAGTTATTTCGTCTGCAAGGTTTGGCAATCCGCAATTTTGTGTTTGCCTCGAGTGACTTTCAATTTGAGCGAATATCTTTTTAATCGTTTCGGTAGTATCGGGTTTCAAACGAAGTATTTGAAGAATAAATTTTTGACAACACTGAGTGACACCAAATATACTACACAGCAGAAATAAATGTAATATCGATCAACGTAATTCAAGCTGATGTATGAAATACATGCAGCTGTTTGGATATAACATTCAACAAGTTTTTTTTCTGTGTGCATTGGAGGGAATATTTTACAGAGTGTTGCGCAAAATTATGGAATCTGCGATTCATGCGTCCTACCCTGTATGAATGAAATCTCTATTTCTTTTTCAAATGGACGTATCTGCTTTTGAAAACAATGCATTTACTCGTCGATTTGGCTTAACTGATAGCTCGCCCACGCATGCTAACACTACCATCACTACTGATAGGTCACTCACGCATACTCACTAGTGGAGTAAGTATGCGTGAGTGACCTATCAGTTACGCTAAACCGACGATTAAATGCGTTGTGTACAAAAGCAGATACGTCCCTTGAAAAAAGTAATAGAGAAATCCCTTTTTTTTTAAGTCTTTCGCCAAATTCACTATCTTGACAGATTACCCCGGAAACGCCTTGATCAACGTTACAGGGCCGGTGTATATGTTTTTCGTTGCACTGGAGCGCATGTTTCGTGAGAACATAAGGGTCTGTTCATAAACTACGTAGACAGTTCAGGGGGGATTGGCAATTATCCACAGCCCATACAATTTAAAATTGCAGTTTTCATACGCAAACTTAATTATAATTATTTAAATCTCAAAAGTTAAATATCAACCGAAATCGCAATACTCCTCACGCCTTCGTCGTGAAACGCTCGTGTTTATTTACATTCCTCGATTGGAACCGCGTTTGACGGTTCAATTGGAACTTTTGGCTTCAGTCTTCGCGCGTCTCTGTTAAACATCGTCTCTGGATTGGAACAGCTTTCTTTCGGTTTTCTGATGACAGTCTTGAGATCGATTGGAATGACGTTTTCCAAGCCGTTGACTGATACGTACTAGCACAGGAACTCTTCTGCCTTAGGAGCTGTTCACAAACTACGTAGCCTCTTTAGGAGGGGTTGACAAATGTCTACGGTCCATACAAATTTCAAAAAAAATTTATGGACGATTGTCTACGCGTGGGAGGGGGTGTCTAAAACCTCTAAAAATCGGTCTACGTAGTGTATGAACAGTTCCTTACTAGAAGGCTTTATCTCATACTAGTTAGATGGCAATGAGTGGCAAAATGCCCACCACCCATTCCCATAGTTACGCATTGCTAATTACTAAACTGTTGCATTTTTTTTCTCTCTACATTTCCAGGTTAGGTGTCATCACGAGCAACAATCAGGAATAACATGAATCTACCACATAGCGAGTGTTTTTTTTCTCTGGTTAACAACGGCAACAACACAAACGGCTTATATCGACACGGGATCGAGATCTAATTCGGCGCGATAGGAGTAGGAGCAGGGAAATGGATCACACCGAATGTTATGACGTGAAACAGAGAGCGCAATAGTGGGTAAGTGATCAGACTAAATGAAGAAGAAGAAGTAGAAGAAGAAGAAGGGCTAAGAGCACAGAGGAAGAGTATTTATAGACAGAATATAGGGTGGAAGGTTCTAAAGAGGTCCTAAAACGATGATGACAGGAATCGCTCACTCATTCGGTAGTTTTCTATATTGGGTCTATCTAAAACACGATAAACACGATGATCAACGCCACACCCTACAGGGACGACAGCTCGATTGTCTCTAGTTGATTTGTGTTCTCTTGTTCGATTCTCACTCACAACCGCGTTCGGTGGTGGGACCAACTGTTGTTAATTGTTTGGGTAAGTGTTCTTGAGAGAGGCTTGAAAGAGTTTGTGTGACTTTTGTTTGGCGAGTATTATCGTTGAATTTGTTTTTGCAAAGTGAGACGAAAAAAAAAACTGGAGCATTCGCAGAAAGAAAGAAAAACACGAATATATACACGGAAAACCATAAACTGAAACCAAAACTAATCGGGATTCAGGTTGTTGACAATTTGGACACTTCTAGAAGTGTTGCTGTGGCCGATTCTTGCTGCGGTTCAATCTACTTGTTCAGTTCAATCATAAACGGAAAGTTCCGAAAAAAGAGAGAAAGAGAAAGACAGAGCGAAAATTCAGCTTGTGTGGATGCACATGATGAAGAAGATCAAAACAAATAGAGACAATGTGAGTGTGGGTTTGTGTTCTGACGCTGAAGGAGTGTAGGCGTGAAATGGATTTCTAGTGAAAATTTTGTTGCGGCTATTGTTCTTCTAAAAGTGGATGCAAATGGAGGGGCGCAAGGTGAGTGTCTGGAAAAGAAAGAGTGGCGATTCCTGCTTTTGACAGATAAACGATAAGATTGAATGAACAGGCGGCACTTGCTTCGACTTGCTGATGAGTGATATGAAAACGATGAAAACGATGCAGATGATGAAAAACACCAAAAAGACCAATGTGTGGATTCATCTAACCACACTTTTTCACTCACGACAAATCTAGTGCCTAGAGGAAAAAGTGAGGTTAGTGTAACATAAATTCTTCTAAACCGGTGGAGCCGCTGTATTTTTGGGTCTACAGAAAGGAAGGATGGTTTTTGCATTCGATGATGTTGCTGAAATTGTTTTTTGACCGTTTCTGCACGCAATGATGGGAAAACGATAAAGAACGAACGAAAATGCAACAATCAAAATGCCGTGCGTGATTGACAACTTGGCGGGCGGGTTATACAATGAGAGCTGCGTTCGGCTAGGGAAGTACAATTATTATTCGTAAATCGGAAACGGAAACGGAAAATCAAGTAATAATAGTAACACAACATCTAGACTTGCATTTGGAGGCTTGCTAGCAGGAAGTCAGAGACTACGTTACCTGAAGTACCACCGACGTGGCCGTGCTGTGGCTGGGGCCAGATCTGCAGCAGATACTTGAGCACTGCGATCGGTTGTGCGTGATCGATCTCCTCATTCGGGCCGGCACTAGACGAGTGCAGCATCAGTGGCGGGCCCATAACAGTGGCCAGGGCCTGGGCGGACATCTTGTTGCGCTCCGAGGCGGACACCACCAGCGACAGGTGATCCAACAGGAAGACCAGCGTCGCCTGCAATGAGAATGTAACAATCGTTAGAGACATTCTAAAAAAAAAGTTCTCACCAACACTTACCCGATTCGCTCTTGGCAAACAGTCCAGGATGCTGAGCATCAGCTTGGCATTACCTTCCGGATCGTCCGGTAGACAGACACCTGAAAGAGAAACCATAACGGTTAGTGCCTGGATCCTGCCCTGAGCGACAGAACTACCTAGCGCATCGACCGTCATCTGGAACAGACATTTGGTAAACAGTGGCTCGGGAAGTTCACGCAGATAGTCCTTGAGGACGCCGGTGATCACATTGATGTCCGGTACGTGTTCCGGTGTCAGCTCTACCGCTCGGCTGTTGCGCTCGAAGGCTTCTCTGCAATAGGAAATGCAACCTGTAATTCAAATATTTCTTCTACTTCCGATCGAACCCACCTGAGCAATCGCTTTTTGGTAGCGGATCCACACAATCGGTACAGGCCGATGATGTCCAGTCCGCGGCGTTCGACTTCTTCGACGCAGCGACGCAAAATGATAGGAACTGGAGCGCATCCGGGAGCGCCCTTGGATTCACGCGTCACTACCGTCTCCAGATCGGCACCGAACAGGGCCGGCACGTTACCCCGTAGGCTGGGCAAACCTCGCCGTCGATACAGCTGGAAGGGATCTGTGTGCCTCAGACGCAGGTATATCGTTCCGCGGGGTTCAACCTGAAAAGAAACAGCGGTGAGTTTTCAGACTCCGCCTGAGTAAATGGAGAATTACCTTCAACGCCAGCTGGTGTATCGGCGATTGCCGCAGTAGCGTAGTGAGCGACAGGGCACCTCGGTAGCACAGCTTGTGTCGATGTTGAGGATCCCAGGAGTAGACCAGCACGTCCAGCTGTTTGTTGCAAACCAGATCCAGCTCGAAGGATTCGTCCCAATCGAACTGCAGGTCACCGGACCGGACGACGGTGCGAGCCTTATGAATGCGATCGCACTCCAGTACGCAGTACAAGTCCCGAATCATCGGTTGCTGGGCCTGCGATGTTTCGGACATGGCCCGCAGTCCGCGACCCGCCAGGAGGTGGATCCACAGCATACCGGACATTCCGATGGCGTCGACCACTGTGGTAAAAATAAATCGAATCATTCGATAAGAAAAGGTTAGCACTGGAAAGTTACTGGATCTTACCTGGCTTATCCAGCTTGTATTTGGTGTACTCGGCCGGGTTGATGTCGATCTGCCGGTGGGTGCGGGGCAGTGTTGTGCTAGGTGTTGGTGCTGGACTCTGGTGGCCGGTGAGGGCTGCCATGGCCGAGCCCGGTACGCCACCTGGACCACCCTGTGTCAGTTCCAGCAGTTGTCGCATCCGCCGGACGCTGGGCGAACGGATTGAGGACGGCCCAATGTGCTGCGAAGACATGGACCGTACCGGCAGTGAAGACATACGGGGTCCTCCGGCCCCGGTTAGATTGTGCCGATCCAGTGTGCCGCCGGTGAGCGCAGTCCGGCTGCTGTAGATGTTTTCGGTGTTCTTCAGCACATCGTGGATGTTCTCGGCCGAACAGGAGAACCGATGCGCTCGCTGTTGGTTTAGGATGTCACGCGACGCTCGCATCTGTTCGCAGATGGCCGAACTGCTTGGTGCTCGCCGCAACCAAGCTCGGTATTCATCCGAGGTGAAGATCGATGGACTGGCGGTCAGGCGCTGGCGTAGATCACGGGGATCCCTTCGGATGGGCAGTGAGTACTCGGGAGCTGATAGGTTTCCGTCGTTTTCGTCCTGCAGACGTTCGCCGATGCGACTCCGGAGACCCATACGGGATCCGGGTCGATCGCGTGGGAGCGAATTGAACTTGGCGTACTCGGGGCCACCTCCGAGGGCTTGCGTACTGCCGCGTGCTATCGTGTTGGCCATGGCCGGGTGGTTGTAGTAGTAGTAGCCAGGCCGAGGACCGATCGTAGCTTCCGTATCGCTTGAGTAATCCAACGCCGGACGGGAACGCCTCTGGAGGGATCCGGTGGCGCCCAGTGGCGATGGAGCATATTTCGGTGTGCGTTGTGACGGTGGAGGTTCGTAACGACCGTAGCGGCCAAGGGTACCGCCGGCAATGGGAGCTGCCTGAACGAGATCGGTCTTTAGACTAGACCGAAGCAGTGTGTGTCTCCCGAGCGATTGGTAATCGGCATACTCGACTCGCGGCAGGTGTTGATCCGAACCGCTTCGGGGAAACCGTTGGTGGGATTGTGACATGCTGACACCGGTTCCGGCCGACATCCGTCGGTTGGCGCTGGGATAGAAGGAGTGCACCTTTTCGGCGAGACTTTCCAGGGTACCGGCATTCTGATAGTACGAGTGCGAAGTCTGGAAGCCGTGGGTTCCCTTCGGTTGCTCGGTAATAACCGATGGCGGTGGCGGTGGTTTGTAGCCCCAACTGGGAGTCTCCACCGGTTGACCCGAGCGCACAGCGTAGTACATGTCCAACTGTTCACTCTGGGGACTGTAATTGTTTAGGCCCAGTCCCAGCCGGGAACGGGACTCGGTCATCTCCCGCCCATCTCCGGTCCGTCGCTCCCGGGAGGATCTCGAAGAGCGCGGCGCACGGTCCGAATCGTCCAGATCGTCGTCTCGCAGGTCCCGCTTGATGACGACCACCGGCGGGGGTTTCTGCTCCGGTCGGGACATTTGAGGTGGTCCCGGTGAATTGGCTCCACGGGAACCACGCCGTTGTCGGATGGCCAGCACCAGACGCCTCGGTATCGACATGATTATCACCACATCGTCCAGTGACATCCGCGTAACGTCCACCAGATTGACGGCGAGAATCTCATCGCCTACCTGTTGAGTAGAGTAGATCAGAGGAGAAGATGAGCGGAAGCTTAATGCGATTAGAGCCGGTGGGTTAGTGAGTGGGAAAGTAATTAGCAATCCCGAGATGGGAAAACGGAAAAAGTCATTTTCTCATTAGCACAGACTCATCTTGATGGTTTTGTTTTTTTTTTTCTGCCACCTTCTTCATGGGAATGAAATTTATTGCCTTGATAACGCTGGTTGTCGTGCTCGAGCGTCCGATGAATATTACATCAGACTGCACAGCAGTCATTTGGGTGTTTTTAAGAATCTGTTTACCACCGGTTGTCACAGCTGTCCAAAATGCTGCTTGTATTGTCTGACAAAACGTCCCTCCCAGGGGCAATCAGGCAAAGTAAATTCTGGTAAAGGTAAGGCAATCGACGATGTTGCTTTTGTGGTTGCCCATCTTCAAGGGGGAAAAGGGAAATTACGTGAACGGAAATCGCTACAGCTCCGGACCCGGTTGGTCCAGTTCCAGGAGATGGTTGGGGAAATGCTGCAGGCGAAAGGAGGTTGGAGATGTGAGGAAGATGTTGGACCCAGTCTCGTGTCACGCTTAATTTGTGTTCTGGGCGGGGGAAGTAAAAGCAGGAAACGTAGCAGACACAGGCAAACAGACACGGTGTGCGGAATCTTTAAAGTTGCTTAGGAGCGTTCATAAGGACCAATGTGGAAAACATAAATAATAGCTTCTTTCGTAAATTTCTCGTATGTCAAAATCAATTTTATCACTTGAGTGTGTTTTCATTTTCGAGAAATTCACGCAAAAAGTAATTGTTTACGTTTGCGGCATTGGCACTTACAAAAGAAAAGCAGATTTACACAGCAAACAATTAATTTTGATATCACATCACAGTGGATGCACTTCAATCGTGTCGAAAATATGGTGTAATATTACTTGCCAAAAAGGACAACATTATCATTAATACAGTGCATGAACTGACATTACGCTGCTTTTATCGCATTTGTTTATTTGCGTGGCCATAAAAATTACATGAGATTTTCGACATGTTTGAAGTGCATCCTCTTGGATGTAAAGGGTGATACGGTCAAAATTTGGTCAAGGGAAAACGCGTGTAAATCGGTGAAATCGTTCATTTAAAAAATCAAATTAAATTTCTTTTTCAAGTTCAATTAGTATAAAATTCAGGAAAAATATTCAGTTAGGCTTCCGCTTTTCCAAATCCGAATTGCCGGGCCTTACCCTTGACCCCTGCCATCAGATTTTGTACAGCCACCTTGTCCACCTTCTTCGCCGCAGAAAGCCAGTTTGCCTTGAACTGCTGCTCGCCCTTAGCAGTTTTTTGGTCTTCTTTAGGTTCCGCTTGACAATAGCCCAGTATTTCTCAATTGGGCGGAGCTCTGGCGTGTTGGGAGGGTTCTTGTCCTTGGGAACCACCTGCACGTTGTTGGCGGCGTACCACTCCATGGCCTTTTTACCGTAATGGCAAGATGCCAAATCCGGCCAAAACAGTACGGAACAACCGTGTTTCTTCAGGAAAGGCAGCAGACGTTTATTCAAACACTCTTTCACGTAAATTTCTTGGTTGACAGTCCCGGAAGCTATGAAAATGCTGCTTTTCAAGCCACAGGTACAGATGGCTTGCCAAACCAGATATTTCTTTGCGAACTTTGACAGTTTCAAGTGCTTGAAAACATCTGCTACCTTTCCCTTTCCTTTTGCCGTATAAAACTCCTGTCCCGGAAGCTGCTTGTAGTCGGCTTTGACGTAGGTTTCGTCGTCCATTACCACGCAGTCAAACTTCGTCAGCATCGTCGTGTACAGCCTCCGGGATCGCGCTTTGGCCGTCGTATTTTGTTTATCATCGCGATTTGGAGTCACTACCTTCTTGTAAGTCGATAGTCCGGCTCGTTTTTTGGCTCGATGCACAGTTGTAGACGATACACCCAGCTTATTTGCGGCATCTCGGAGAGAGAGGTTAGGGTTTCGCTTGAAACTACCGGCAACTCTCTTTGTCGTCTCAGCGGCTTCCGGTTTTCGATTTCCCCCCGATCCAGACTTCCTGGCTGTCGACAAACGTTCCCCAAACACTTTAATTACATTTGTAACGGTTGATTTGGCAACTTTGAGCGATTTTGCCAACTTTGCGTGCGAGTAGCTCGGATTTTCGCGAATTCCAAAATCAAAATAGGAGCAACATTCTACACACACACACACCTTCAAAATGAGGGGTGTTCAGGTTTTTTAAATGCAAAATTGAAAGAAATACGTCAAGTTGATATTGACCAAATTTTGACCGTATCACCCTTTAATATTAATTTTTTTTTGCTGTGTGTGGTTGTATGCTCAGTCAGCACTGACGTTGACGGCGACTCTGCGACTCTTCACTGCTGGTAAAATCCCTTAAGGGTCTGACCAGGAGACTGGCAACCCCATATCAATCATATGCGTTTGACACGGGAGACTGGCAACCCCATATCAATCATATACGTTTGACAGTAGGCAACATCACGGGCCTTATTTAGGCTGTGAACCATTTGCCAAATTAAATTTAACTCGTGGTTAAAAGTGACTTTTCGAAAGTTATTTTCTATGTTCGAAAATCCCCGTGCTGTCGATCGACCGGTTTTCAACCCACGGTTGTCAAAATTTAACTTCTTGTCTGTCAGAAATAACAAAGCTCGGATAGCAGTGTTCATCGATAACTTTCCATCTGTCAAATTTTAACTACAAGTTAAAATAATCCACCAAATGGTTCAGAGCCTTAAATACGACCCGCCTGACGTATACATGGTGGAAAGTGACGGAAAATCGTGTTATAAGCAGAAAGACAAGAGCAGATGATAGCATCAAAAACATGGCCGCCAGTCAGGCCCCTGTGTCTGACAATCTATTAGCGAATTCGTTTATTATTCAGTTACAACAAACGTCAGTTTGTTCGTTTGTTTTTGAAACCTAGCTCAGGTTGAGGTTTGCACTGACAAAAAGTTCGTTTCGGAAAGTTTCGGATTTTCATAGGAGTGAAAGGGTAAGAAAATGTTCACCATGTTTCACGCACAGACTGATGTTTGCTTATTGGATTTTATCATAGGAGTAAAGAGTTACAGAGTGACCGAAAAAGGCGAATTGTCAATAGTCAAGATAATGCGCAATGAGATGTAAACAGCTGAGGCCCCGGTAATTAGTCGTCTCTTTTGTTCCTCCGCTGTTTAAATGCTTGACGGAGTTTGACGTGTGGGCATTCTTTTTCCGACCAGCTCGACAGAGGGCTTTTCAGAGGGATTTTTTAACTAGTATTTTCAAGTCGCTCAGAAGCCAGTCAAGATCGTTGAAACCATGGACCCAAAGGTCAGGACCAATAGCGTGGAAGGAATTTATCGAAAAATCATGGTTCTCGGTAATAGAATGGAAGTGCACGCAGTAGTAGGTTTTTTAGATTTGTGGGTAGTTATATTTTTGAGTGCATGGGGGAATGCTGTCAACAATGCTGTCGGTTTGTTTACCAACAATAGCTGACGTTTTGTTTTAACCTAACTTTTTTCCTAACCTGAACTTCAGAGCTAGGATTAATGTCATTGTTGATGTTGATCAAAATGGAATCAGTTTTATCACTTAATTGTTGGGGGTCCAACTAGAAATCATGCAAGGCGGACCCAGGTACGATCCTTGTGTAGCGAGGACCGAATGGACCAGATCCCGCCAGTCAGATGATTGTCCGCGGGAAGATTGTTCGAAGGAGGATTGTCCGCATGAGGATTGTTTAAAGGAGAATTGTCTGCTTCCGACGAGTCAAGGAGTACGTGGAGGAAGAAGATTATCCGGAACTCTAAAGCTCTTTATATGTTCCAGGGGGAACGATACATTCGGATGCATCCTGTATCCCCATCAAATTTATCCATAAAATTCTGCTTATATATCCAGAACATCAGTCAGAACTTTTTTTCTCCAGACATCCTTATTCGATTTTTTGTCTATTTTTCAGTATATCCTGAATATCCCTGTTGATCCTTCTGTCTATTCCGAAAATTCTTTCAATTCCGCTCGCATGCCGTCACAGTGTTGCCATATCTTTTTTGAAGCAACATGCATCAGGATGAGTGTCGTTCCCCAACGTTTTCCTTGAACGTCATTGATTGTCTCTGAAGATCTTTCCTGGAACTATCTTCCTGCGGACAATCGTCCAGTGGACAATCTTCCTCTGATCAATCTTCCTGCGGACCAGTGTTGGAAAAGTTCGCGATATTTCACGAAGTTCACCAAGGGAAAAGTTCGCGAGTCATAGGGAACTTTGATGAACTTTTCCATCACTGCTGCCGACAATTCTCTTCCTCCAAATAATCTTCGTGCGAACAATCCTCTTTCGAACAATCCTTCTGAGGACAACCCTCTTTCGAACAATCTTCCTGTGGACAATCCTCCTACGGACAATCCTCCTACGGGCAATCCTCTTCCGAACTTGCTGCTATCTTAATAATTACCCATTTGAATTTGCTTTTATACTTAATTTTAAATGTGTATCGCACACTGGGAAAATTTCCAAAATTCCGGGAAAAAAACCTGGAAATTGCAAATCGGGATTTGCTGGTCACCCCATGAGTAAGGGATCTAAGTTCGCAAATGCCATTGTCGAATCTATTGGATAATTGTCAAATTTTACAGATCAAAATTTAGTGAACTTTTTCCATTTTGATCCAACTTCTTTGATTTAAAGACTTTCGGCTACAAATTGAAAAAAAAAAAACAAAAACTTAGGCATAAACAATCTTGAAAAGTTCATAAATTTGCCTGTTTGCAAGAAAATCAATTTTTTATGAGGATCCAGTTTTTTTCAAAAACTCTTGGCAACCCGTGCACCAGTTGGATCAGCGGTTGGAACTTGCCGGAACGCCACAAAATCACGCAGGCAGGTGGTGTGTTGGAGTTGGTTGGGTGGTGGCACAGAACAGAAGGGGAAGTGCAAACAAATCGATGAATCAAAAGTGGCTCGTTTTGCTACTCAGCAAGCAATGTGTTGTGGTAGCGT